GACAAATACTAATAGTTTTGGTAGAGAAGATCGGACAGATTTCGCCAAGGCAAGCTGGGCAGTCGCCTATTGCTCCTATTCCAGATAACCCACTGTACCCTGTCTGAAAGGAAGTAACGCTAGAGTAGACTCGCGAAAAGTGTATAAGACACTTTTAAGATCAACTAAATAGCTAAGCCCAAGGGAAGTCGTTCGGGGAGGCCCTCCCTAATTCCACAAGGGTGAGAAGAAACACACACGATAACGAAACGTTGAATCATGTAGAACTCGTAGGGTAAATGCAAAGCAAATTAGGAAGAATATGCAGTAAGCTAAGCGAAGAGGTAAGCAAGGTTAGACTATACTACAACTACTAAACGTGTTATTTCTACTACTACACTACTACTACATACAAAAAAAATAAAAACATCTACAATCAACAATTACTTCAAACAAAATGAACAAAAATAAGCATGCAAAATAAAAACTAAATCAAATTAACTACAAAAAAAACAAAAAAACATGCAAAATAAAAAATTAATTTGAATAAAATCAACTTAATAATTTCTAGAGCATGCAGGATAAAAAACTATTTCAACTACGGGGTCATCTTTGTCTTCTCCAGCGTTGATCTGAAACAGATACGGTGGCAAATAGATTAATAAAGAGAATTAAAGTTATATCAAGTATTCTCACCTTAATTAAATGTAGATTGTAACATCCCAAACTTTGCAGGTGTTAAAACAAAACAAATCCGGCAGGAATACCATACCAAAAATTTTGTTGTTTCTATGGAATTTAAATTAATCTCCAATTGCTCTAATGTTGCAAGGCAAAGATGTAAACAGCTAATCAAGAGATCAATCCAAGAAAGATGATGCCCATGTAGACATTGGTTGTTTCAGTAGGACCAAACTGAACTTTATTTCTTTCCCATTTGTTGAACAATCTGCAGAAATGAACAAAAAACGTATTAATTACACTATTAATTACGGAAGGCATTAAACACCTGAATTAAGGTACCAATTAATTACACTCACATAAATAACATATGAAATACAACAAAACATGCATCAAAACGCAAGTAAAATGACAGAATTATAAAATGGCGACAAGTGTCAATTTGCATCATAGCATAGAACTAATCATAGATGCATACAGAGCTAATTTATGATTTAGACAATAGATAATTGTTAAAAGAAATACCAAATATCACAGATTCACGTCTAAGTTGCTGTGGGTAATATATAACTGACAGAAGGAAAACCATAGATGCCAAAGATTACAAATTACTACGAAAATAAAGTACAGTAAAACAATTGCTTACCCCGAGGATTACCGAAGGTGCTCGAGTTTTATTCCTAAGCGTTGACAGCAGAGAGTGCCTCTAACAATAGATACTTTTGAAAGGAATAATGATACCATCGATAGTGAAATGAGCCACAGAGCAGAAGACACAACGTCACGTACGCAACCTTATATACATCAGTGTGAATTGGACTGCATGTTTTTTTCTAAAAAACATTTAAGGGGCTTCATTTCTCCACGTTTCGAATCCTTCTGACTTGTCTCCTTGTTCATTTAACGTGTTTAAATGATAACCTGTTGAAGCAATTTAATGTTACTTTCATCTTAAATATTATGTATTAAAATATTAAGAACCATAACTACTATCAATAAAATTATAGAATATCAAACTTAATCATTAACTACTACAATTCAGAAGAGTAAAAAATTGTAGTAGTAATTATTGTCAAACTAACGAAATACAAGATTTAAAAATTCACAAACCATTTCATAAATACAACTGTCCTTTCCAAGTCCAAGAGAAGAAAGTATGAGTGGGGGGCTCTGTTTCTCCACGTTTCGACTCCTTTTGATTTACCTCCTCATGTTCTTTAATGTTTTAATGGAAACCTGTTGAAAATTTAATATTACTTATATGTTCACTAGGTTTTGTTATTTTATTATTAATGATAATTACCATTGTTAACATCTTATGTCCAATAAATTTTTCAATCAGCTCATTTGAGGCATTTTTGGAAATAAAGTAAGTCACGCTGTCACAGACATTACATCTACAAGTAGTTTGTCCATCCAATCCTAGGTTGTTATCTCACAGCAAGCATGTATTATTAAAAAGAAAAAAACAAGTTAAAATCCAAACTCTAGAACAACGAGGCAAAAATGAAAAATTTTCTAACAGAAATATAGAATTTTTGAAGGCAGAGTAATATTTTTGAGAAATATTTCACATATTTTGGCTATAAAACGAAGGCAATTTTTCGAGGAGTGGTCACATCGATACGAAAAATCTACAATCATCGCCTAAACCTGTTTTGAAAATTAAAAAATTCTAACAAAACCATAATTATTCGACCTCAAATAAACCAAGAGTTTATAAAAATTCACAGTAGATGAACGAACAGGCAAGATGCCAAGATGGACTCCCATGTTGAAGCACGAAGATATCACGTCAAAAAAGATCTAAGCAACGGTAATCGAAACCCATCAATCACGAAATAGAAACATATTCCACACAATCAAATGAAAATTCAATAAGGATTAGGGCTAAATACCTTCAGGCGTCGTCTCCGGTTATAGGCAGCACAGACCAACGGACAACAAAAACGAGATACACTCATGCACTGTATTGCTATCAGGCTTGCAGAAATATTCTAAAGCTATGCCCAAAACGGTGATGACGTACAACGGTACTCAGAAGCATCATATTAGACTTCTGCGACGGTTATTACTATTTTCGTAAGAAATTGTTCAAACAACATCAGTGATATTGCCAAGCTAACAATCTCAAGAGATAACGATATAACATAATACATTCAAACAGTTCCATTCCCAGTGTCTCTTTACCCCGCTCCCTCAACGAAGTTAAAAGCCATTTAATTTTCCACTTTCAACATGTAAAAACAATTTCGTTTGAAGAATAAACAATAAAAACTCTTCAAAGCAGACACGAATTCAGGAAAATATTTCCACTATTAAATTCAAATAGAATTTTTATTATTCATTTTTATTGAATTAATTCCGAAAATAAACGAAATTTTGTAATTAAAATTCAAGTATAGTTAAGTATTTATACAGGGTGTTTCGCAACTGAAGAGAAAAAATGAAATGTTATATCAAAAAACTAGAATTCTAATTATAAATCAAAAAATAACTTTCTTCAGATAGAATTTCATTTAGATTTTCAGTTTTAAAAAATACGTTAATATTTTATTTAACAATTCATTTATTATTCTAAAGTAGAAAAAAAGCAAATACATATCAATAAAAGTTATTTTAACTCAACCCTTTAGATATTTTATAGGACCACTTAAAACGATTAGTTTATGTTGAGCCAATTAACACTATTGAGCAATTAAACGATAGATTTTAAATTCAGTGCATACAATTCAGAACACTAAATTTACAGTTTACAATGTAGTAGTTTGCGTTGCTATTTTTGAATATCTATTCTAGTGTTCAACGGTGTAATAACATATATGTATTTGCTTTTTTTTACATTAATATAAAATCATTGCCGCTTGTTAAATAAAATAAAAAGTATTTTCTAAAATCAAATATCTCCTAAATTAAGCTCTATCTA